GGAACAAATTTAATTGCATCCTCTATACGAAAATGAGGATAACGTTCCTGATTCGGTCTCTACATGAGACTCCTCCGCTGTCATAGGCCTGGGCAAGATCTCTGCCATTTTTGCTGTTTTAAAGGGTTGGTAATATCTTTGTTAGGTTGAGGGCGATATACTACCATCTAGTAATATATCGCATAGGTAGGATTATAATTGTTTATGTGTTTTGTGTATTTTGGTTTGTGTTGGTGAAGGCATAAATAAAAATAAATTGTAATTAAATGACTTTACGTATTTTCAAAATCTTTGACATGTAATAAATACTAGTTAATAATAAATGACTGATAACTGATAATGAAAGAGGAATATAATATATCTATTATGAAAAGCATTACAATAAAATAATAATATATTGAGACATGATAACTGAATGACTGAATTAACGTAATAAGCTAGCGAAGTTAATGAGTATCGTAATAAAGAATGAAGAATGAATGACAAGAATGAATGAACAAGAAACTTGATAATCACTTTGAGTACCCTAACGCAAAGACAGTTGTTGTTACGTGGTATTAGCCATTCAAAATCAGGCCGCATCATTTTGATTTTTCTTCTATAATTCTGGCAAAAGCATCAGGAGAATTAACCCTGATTCACACCTAACGCTCACGCTCACACTCACGCGCACGCAAGTGATCGCACTCAAATATTCTATAATGATAAACAGGCTGAGTATTAAAACTGTCCGCTCAATCATCTACGCTCAAATCTATCACCATCATTAATGTATATAATCCACATGATAGTGAGGTGGTACCTAAACCTCCTGACTGCATGATACATACTGATACTGTCTTATTGTGTGGGGATTTCAATGCTCGCCATCCTCTCCTAGGCTCCGAGGGAAGTACCATTGGCAAAAACGGTAAGGTTTATTATGACTATCTCCAAAATACTAGTGATCCCATACACTTATTATGCCCCCTCGAAAAAACTCATTATTTGGGAGGGAAATTGGACTATATAGCTCTATACAATCAGCACACACTACCAAGCACTGCGGAAGTCATCCCATTCTTAGTTAGTGATCACTGGGCATTAAGTATAACCCTCCCCTTTTGCAAAAGAACCCCACCCCAGCCACGCCTTCGATACCACCTTGCTACTAAATTTCACAATGAATTCATTGAAAGAATTGCCTGCTGGTATGAAGACTTTACTCCTACCAGCCTGGATCACTTTAATGAAACCCTCTGTCAGCAAGTTGGCAATATCATTACTCAAATACAACCCAAAAGCCCTGCCAATCACAGATCTTTATCCTCCAGAGGTAGACATGCACAACAACTGAACAAAGACCCTGAGATAAAACTTCTTAGGAGACTCATACGATCTACAGTAAGCCAGCTACGACACTTGGGGAAAAACCCGTACTTAGCTAAAGATCTTGTGTTATTTAGTAAAGAGATCAATGAGATAATAACACGAAAGTGGGAAGAAAAATTTTATGCCTGGGCAGAATCAATTGACTCCATGACAACCATGAGTAATGTATGGAAAGAAATCAACAAGATCAAAGGCAATACATGCAGTACAACACCCCACCCACATCCAGAAAGGGTAGCCTCATCTCTCCTCAATAAATGGTGTGAGGAGTCTTCTCTTGATAGCCTTCCATTATCCATACGTAGGTGTTCCCTTAAATCAAGCCATAAAAACGAAATTGACTACCAGTGCAACCTTTTAGATGAGGCTGATGCACCATTTTCAAAGGAGGAACTCCTTGCAACCATTAAGACTAGCAAATCCACCGTACCTGGGGATGATGGAATCACTTATGACATCATCCGACTTCTTGCAAATCCTCTTCTTGATCTCTTCAACTTAACCTACATGACAGGCATCTTGCCTACCTCTTGGAAACAGGCAACCATCATTCCCATTCCAAAACCAGGACGGCCTGATGAATATAGACCAATTTCTCTGACGTCCTGCCTGTCAAAAACCTATGAAAGAATTCTCCTCGCTCGTTTACTCCATCAGATCAAAGACATGATCCATCCATCTGTCTTTGGCTTTCAAAAAGGGAGAGGAACACAAATGTGTCTAGCACAGTACCTAAATGGACGTAATGCACAGTCTTCTTACTTCATAGACTTTAAGGGAGCATTCGACAAAGCCTCCCCTACTGCAATCCTCCATGAACTCTTTTGGGAGTTAAGGGCAAGCTTCTGCTATGGATAAAGGATTATCTATCTTTGAGAAGAGCAAAAGTGTGGTATCAAGGCATCTATAGTGCTTATGGCGAATTGGAATTAGGCACTCCACAAGGGGGAGTGTTGTCCCCAACACTGTTTAATATACTTATGCACTCTCTTTGCAAGCTCAATGATGAGTTAGGAAACCTGTGCAGCATCACATCCTATGCTGATGACATTCTTATTCAGGTGTTTGATAGGGGGGATTACGTTCTACAGAGGTTCAGCAAAAATTGTGCCTCCCTTGGTCTCATAATCAACCCAATCAAAACTAAGCATATTTCCAAATCTCGTAGATTACCTTACATTCCAAGGTTAGGTGGACAAACTATTGCAAGAACTGACTCCTACAAATATCTTGGTGTTATGGTGGCTGCACCCCACCTCATGTCCCATAACTCACGCTTTGCTAAGAATATTGTTCAAAACATCAAGGAACGTTGCCTTGAGCGTTTAAGACCATTGCAATACATTAGTAACAGATATGTAGGTGCCTCCCTGAGAGTCCTAAGGTTGATGTATATCTCCCTTGTTAGGTCCATGATAGACTATGCAAGCCCAGTTCTTAGTATGCTGCCACCGAGTGCCCTCAAACCCCTTGAAGTTTTACAGAATAAGGCCATGAGAATTATACTTGGATGCCCAATGACCGCTAAAGTTCTCGTCATGAGGAAAGAGTTAGACCTCCCTTCTATTCACAGTCGTGTCATCCAAGTTAACACCATACTCGGCATTAGGCTCCTGCAGCTTCAACCCAGACCACAGATCTCCAGTATCCTATCAAATGAGATAAATTATAGAGTCAGGCATGCCCGGCCTCGATACTCCAATCTCATACAGTCCAACTTAGAATGGAAAACTAAAACTGCTCATACTATCATGTTCCTCAATGTATGGAACAACGAAGCTATTAATATTCCAGATACAGTACTTACTGCTCCTTGGCACAGAACTCATGTACGTGCTCATATTGATAAACTAATAGGGTCTAAATCTATGGCTTCAAAAACGGAACTAAAAGCTCACTACTTGGAATATATAGATGGCATTCTACATCCTCCTCATGGTACGCCCCCACTTGCAATCTACTGTGATGCCTCCACTGGTCCTCATGGGGCAACAGGGATTGGTGTGCTAATTCCTGATATAGACCTTGAAGAAAGTGAGTGCATCTCCAACTGGGCAAGCACAACTGATGCCGAGTCAGTAGCTATATATCATGCCATTAAGAAAGGTAGTGAACAGCAGCGAAACCTGGCTGTCTTAACAGACAGCCAAGGTGCTCTTAACAGGCTTACTGCATTTACTCCAGAAAACATGGTAACTAAGAATATCCTTCACCAAATTTCTAAATTATCAGAACGGGGTACCCAAGTGTCACTATACTGGATACCTTCTCATATAGGAATATCACTATGTGACAGGGCTGATCAATTAGCCAGGTTAGCACTTTCCCATGAAGATCCATACTATGTAATACCGCTATCTCTCAATCAAATGAAAAAACGAGTTATCAACTGTCTTAGAGATTATGAGGATCAGGTATGGACCAATGAAAAAATGAAAAAAGATGGACATGGTACTATCTGGCACTACGAGAGTATTGTTGGGACATCAAATTTAGACAAGCCCTATAAAGTCTATTACGGACTGTCTCGGAGACAACAGGTTACATTAACTAGGCTACGCATAGGATATCAGTACACTATACAATATGTACAGGATGCAGTTTTGGATGCAAAATCTGTTTCATATCACCATTGCAAACTGTGCAAGGAACCCAAGTCGCATAATCTCACTCATTACTTACTCTGCTGCATAAAGACTATCCTATCGATCAAATAGTACTGTTCACAGAATAGCGCTTGTTGATTATATTAACTTTATTATAGACACTGGTCTTGTCTTTGACATGATTAGTGATGTAAAAGGTTTTTTACCAGTCAGATGATATTTTAATATTGTGATAATAGAACAGCCCTTCAGGCATGTATGTAACACTAATGTTTGACCAATGGCCCTCTACACAAATAGAAGCACAGCCAGTTTGGATAGATGCTTTGGTATATTACCCTGGCTTTTTGCAGGGCATGTACACTGTTCTGTAAATAAATGTTATCAAATCAAATCAAATCTACTCATCATGACGATCAAGCTCACGATCGAAGCAAAAGATATTTTGAGCGTGCTCAACCGTGAGCGACAGCAAGAGCGAGAGCGTGAGTGCACGGTGTGAACCAGTCGCGGTCAGCTCTTCCTATACGCTGGACATGTGGATTGATGCTCTGCTTGTTAACAACGATGAGTGAAAGCAACAGGAAACAATGGGACAACTCGAAAGGTAGGTAAACAAGTGAATAAAAGAAACAAACAAATTAGGTTTTATTCATTTCAAGGTTATGCATACGAAATGCATGTTTCATGTTTAGCTAGGACGTTATAAAGATGCAGAATAGATTAGTCATTATAGATACAAAATATTAAATGTACATAACAAAAATAAGATCGTATAGTGATAATGAGTAAAGAAAATGATTGCGTGCAACTTGAATTATAGTACAAAAAACTCCGTACCCAATTACAGCTACTCTTTTTTTCCATTACAGATGAAATGCTCATCGAAGCCGTAAAGTCGAAACCCGAATTGTATGACCTGGCATCACCCCTCTACAGCAATGTTAATATTAAAAGAAAATCCTGGGGCGAAGTTAACAGACAATTGGGTTGTGAAGGTAAGCAATGCTAATTTATGAATGTTTAAATTTTTTGATTTTGCCAATCAACTGAACCAGTACGTGATACGAAATAGTTTTTTAGAGTTTCTCTCACAGCAAAAGCTTCCCTAGTAGCATTCCCACCCCCTCCTGTAAGTGGAAGTAAATTAACTTGATTTGCAGAAGGCATGTCGACAGATCCCAGCTGTGCAACGTCACTTGGACGTATTAGGTTATGAAGTATGCAAGTTGCTGTTATTATGGTAGTAGCATTACAAGGATTTGCTCTGAGTTTTCTTAAATACAGTCTGAAAGTTTGAGCAAGTATTCCAAATGCACACTCTACCATCCTTCTTGCACGAGATAATCTATAATTGAAGATCCTCTTGTGCTCATCATGTTCAGCTTGAGATCCGGGGTATGGGCGCATCAAGTTTCTCTTGAGAGGAAATGCCTCGTCGCCCACGATAACATATGGTGCATGAATATCAGTGCCAGGAAGTGGAGCATCATTCGGAACATTCAGTTTGTTCTCCTCCAAGTTCTTGCTAAGGCTAGATGTAGAAAAAAATCCACTGTCGCTATTTTTGCCATAGGATCCCACATCAATCCATATAAACCTGTAATTCGCATCGACTAATGCTAATAATACAATAGAGAAGGTCTTCTTATAGCTGAAATATAGTGAACCACTATTTGCTGGGGATTCTATTTCAACATGTTTCCCATCTAAGGACCCAAGACAGTTTGGGAAGTTCCAATTTGTCCAATATTGGTCAGAAATTTTCTTCCACTTGTCTTCGGTGGGTTCTGGTATAGCTTCTTTCAGTAGGTTCTTGACTATCGCGGTACACACTTGCACAACAATACCCTGAACGGTTGAATGGCCCAGGCGATAGCTGTAGGCCAATGATCTATATGAATCTCCTGTAGCCAGAAACCTGAAAAGACAAAAAAAAAAAAATATTATTAAACATTTATGTATGTATAAATCCAATTCTAACATAACACTAATAAACTGCAATTTCGGAAAATAATGGGTAAGTGCATCAAGAGCGGGCAAGGCGCAAGTACAACAGTTAAATGGAAATATGAAGAGCAAATGGGATTTCTTCGCTCTCTCTCGAAGGACAGGACGCGAATATGTTCTACACCAGCAAAAGAGGTTGATATGTATGAAACACCTGTAGATGAAATTGAGAAGGTCGGTGATATAAGCGAAGGTTATGATGTGCAAGATTCAGAAAAGTCACCAATTGACACGATTGCTGGAAAACCAGCAACTTCAGATACAGCGTTTCCTACACCTCGTCCGCGGAAGCGAAAACAGCAAGCAACAAGTAGTGCTTCGGCACAATTGATGAGTTACATCCTTGAAAATAAGCAATCTACTACGTCAGACTCGCTTGACACATTTTTTCAGTCCATGCTATCAACTGTAAAAAAAATTAACAGCAACGATCAACTGATGGTGAAAAAGAAAATTTTCGAAATAGTCACTGATGTTGAAGGTCGATATATTTCTCAACAACACACCCCTTCGGTGTCCCCTACTCTCTCATGGAACTCTTCCATTGAAAACACTACATTTATGGCACAGGGTAATTTGAATGCGGAATCTTCATGTTGCACCCCCCACTCAGTGTCCCCTGCTACCGCATCAATTTCTTCGGATTCGAATGGTGCATTTGTGCAGCATGACTCTGCTGTGTCTGGAAATCTTTAAACTTTTTTTTCTATGTAATGAAGTGAAATGCCCTTGTCCATGTTGTAGCCTAGTCACAGAAAATATAACTAGGAAATTATAATGCAATTTATAAACTGTTCTTTTCTACATACTAGGGAACTAGTTCTTTTTCCTCATTTTTCATATACTATATGTAACTATTTCGTTTTTTAAGAAAACCTATTCTTTAGTACAAACAGGAAGCTTCTATTTTGATTTAGTTCTGTATTCGCTATGGAATAATCGCATTTGTATAAGCATTCGTTTTTTGTACCTAATAAATTCCCAACTAAATTATGTATTTCTTTCTTACCTTAAACATACAGCCAATCTTTCTCTTGAAGATTTCGATTCCCTGAAATAGGTGTCTTCCTTCATTATGTCTGCTCCAACTTTGGACAAAACGTACTCAAATGTCCCTTTTGGCATGCGGAAATAATTAAAAAACATTTCTTCGTCATCAATAAGATGGGGATACAGGGTTTCAAATTCCCCTTCACTCTTCACTAGCATAGGATGCACCCAAAATTTCTTTCTCTTTCTCTCTCTCTCTTCCTCATCCAGCGCTATGGCCATACCCGCTAATTCCAGAGTAGAGAAATCACTCATGGTTCACCGACGCCACAAAGCAGACTGAGGTCAGCGAGAGCTTGAGCGGCATGTGTGAACACACAAGTAAAATGAGCTGAGCTAGAGCTTGACTGCGGCTTGCGCGTGAGTGTGAGCGTGAGCGTTAGGCGTGAATCAGGCCTAATGAGTTCAGCGGAGCTACTCTTCCCCTGAATTCTCTTAGTGACATACCAGCCGTAACAATATATATATATATATATATATATATATATATATATATATATATATATATATATATATATATATATACATATACAAACACACACACACACACACACACACACACACATATATATATATATATATATATATATATATATATATATATATATATATTATATATATATATATATATATATATATATTATATATATATATATATATATATATATATATATATATATATATATATATATATATATATATATAGTAATAATGTGTCTGTGTGCGTGTGTATATATATACACACACACACACACATATATATATTGTTTGAAAGATTAAAGAAAAGACCCGTTACCAGGGAGGAGGGGAAGGCGGGAGAGGGGCCCGAGGAGAGACTGAGGCCGGAGGCAAAGGAGGACACAGGGTCTCCACCACCTCGCTCTCGACCCCGGGGGCACGGGGGTCTCTCGGGGTCTCACATCTACCTTCAGCCATAAACCAGCGAGCAGAGGTCCATCTCACGCGTCGTTCATACCGTCAGTAGGATTAATTACGGTTAATATTGGTATTATGGGAAGATATTATATATATTATAGTTAACCCTACAATATTTTCTTCGGTTTACCATTGTCGACTCTAAGAAAACGTTATTGCAGTTGAAGGGTATACTGTTTCAATAAGACTGAGAGAAACTTTGACGTTAGTTTCCTTGGAGTTTGATGTATCTCCAAAAGTACTTTTAAAGCAATCGGGATGAACGGATTGACTTGCGATGGTAAATTCACTGGTAACTACAGTAACAATCGCAAATAGACAGCAGTGGTATTCATTAACAAACCGTTGGCGTTACCATGGGTAGTTTTACCAGTGGTCGGAACACTGGTGAGTCCACTTGTAACTTCTGGGAGTTACGATGTCAACACGTTAACTGGTCCAAAAATCAGAGTTCAAGCAGAGGTACTGTTTTTTTTTTCTTTTTTAATTATTATTATAACGGATATGATTAGTGTGGTGGCAAACACATATCGCAACATGGCATGGCAAAGAAATGCAATTTTCACAAGTAAATGGCAAGAATAAAATCCACCTCTACAATCATAGGCAGGTATAGTACCAGTAAATCTTAACCCATTCGCGCCGGGTAAAAATGAACAAAAAATGGGGGAAAAGGCTGTGCTCATATTTTATACTTTTTGTGAAATTTCTCTACACTAGATGGCTCTGCCTTACCTGATTTCATTTGGCGGGAAAACGTATTTTTACTAGTAAAATGAATATCGATGGTTATTTTTATTATAAACATAATAATTACTATAATGTTAGTAACAGCAAAATAAGATAACGTATAATATTTTCGTAAATTAAAGAAAAGGGTGAACAGGCGAGACAGGCAGTACAAGTACAGGTGCAGCCATCTATGTGGAAAAACAATTAAACAAGTAAACTCACTGTGGGCCCGTCACATATACGTGACACCCGGCGTGAATGGGTTAAAGAATTCTCTGACATGATCAATACAAATTATATGTATAATATAATTTATACATTCATATAAACACATGTAATATGTATGTGTGTGTGATCACACGTGTATAACACACACACACACAGACATTAAGGCCTTTCTCGTTGCATTTCCGAAACCCTCATCACTTTGATACAAGTTTTCCTTTACGAGCACATTGGAGACTGTTGAAATATCTTTTCAGTTTGTCAATTTATATGTTTCAACCTTGATACTATGTGATATATTCTGGCACACATACACACCCGTGTGTGTATGTGTAATATATATGTGTGTTTTATTACTGCTGGTAAGTGAATTCGTGGGAAGCGCAGCTCCACTGAACTCAAATCCTTTTGCCAAAATCACAGAACTCAACTCTGAATGATTTGGCCTCCTATGAATGGCTAAATACCACGTAACAAACTGTCCTTTTGTTAACGTACTGATAATGACTAAAGTTTTGTTTCAGTATCATATATTTTTGATTTCTTGTTATAAGGATTGTTAATGTAGTTAGATTACCATTACTTGTATATTAAATCCTTCATCATGAACTCCATTAAAGTATTTTTCTTAACTGAAATGTAATCTTACTGTGCAATAGACATATTAGTCTTTCGCCAAGTCAATAATTTTTCATCTTGCAATAAACACATTTCATCCATTAATTATAAGAAAGCGTTGAGATTGGAAAATACGTCAAGAAAGCATGACAGGGAAAAAACGTCAACTCATTATTTGCAATTTATTTCTATTAACTTCGGTCACCAAAAATACAAGAAAATCCTGCCTATGTAATAGATTTTTAAGAAAAAGTGTATCGCCCGAATCAACAGCAAAGGAATCCGTTAAATCCGTTGGTAATTCGCAAGACAGTGAAGGGGGGGGGGGGGTATAGGTGAACGTTATTTAAGGGACTATATTGTCAGACGTAGTTGATAACAATCTAAAATTAGCAGATTTAGTGATTAAGTGTAAAATAAATTTATTCGATACTTTACTCTTAATAATTCCCGCAAGAAAATGCCCCCTTTTGTACGCTAAGATGTTCGTTTTCTTTTAAACTGCTATATACTACTGTATCTTGGGAATTACCTACCGAATAGTTCTTCACTAAATTGCTAACTAACTACCAGACGGTGTAATGATGCACTAGGATATTGGGTGTCTCTAATGCAAAACCTTAGTGCTATATGACTGCCATGTTAGTAGCCACCAACACTAGCGTTTTTCTAAACTTAATATATTTTATTAACGTTTACTCTTTTATGATCCGTGAGAATCTCATCTGGATGAACAGAGCTAAATAAATTCAAAACTTTTCAATAGCCAATACTATCCCTAAAATCTTTTCGATGATGACGTAAGCTTCTGATAAGACTACATTTCCGTTCCTCAGCAAGCCTACCGCGCCCACTAGCGTCCCCACGTAATACTGGCGTCAGGAGCTTGCATGGCGTGGGCGGCACGCAAGAGATTCTTCAGGGTTTCGAAGGCTTGTCGACAATTATCAGAACTCTTGAATGGTCGTTTGGTACTCAGCAAGTCAGTCAAATGTACGCATTACTGCAAAAAGTCTACTGCAGCCGGCCATGAAGCGCATCAAGCATTTCCTGTCGACGGGCGCGGGATTTGGAAGAGCGGCTTCCACCTTTGCAGCCTCAGGTGCAACCCAGCCCTAACCGATCACGTGGCCCAGGAGGATGACACTTTTTTAGGGTTTGCAATATGTTCCTCCCCGGACGTAATTTAGATCACGAGGTCTTCAAGGTAACAACGAACACCTTCCAGTTAGCCGTTGGGTAATTCATAAGTTGAAAAAAATATCGGGGCGTTCCTCGTGCCGAAAGGAAGAACTGTGAACTCGCAGAGGCCGACAGGAGTGCTAAATGCAGTAATCGGCCTCGCCCTCTCAGTTATCCAGGTGATCCAGCTCCGAGGTTGCGCCCCGCCTAAAACTCTAAAGACTACCTTATGTGATTTGCACTCTGTGGCCTCTGACTCCACACTACGAAGGACGGAGGAGGACACGACCGCCACCCGCCTGGCCGAATGAGTTGTTTGGTAGTTAATTTCCCAGTTACAGTGGTGTATAGCAGTTTAGCAGTAGTTAAGCTTTTTCTCAGGAAAAATAAATGCGGGGAGGAGAGTCAAAGTAACCTATCGAATTGGATTCACACTTAATGACCAAATTTACCAATATTAGAGTGGTTGTTAACTAAGCTTGACAATCTATCTATTCAATCCTTGAAAACGCGTTCACCGATACCGCCCCCTCCCCGCTCCATTGTCTTACTGTGTTCTTAGTAATGGGCTGCCTCGGTCACTTCACCAAGGCCTATACTTACATAGACCTTGTCCTCCCGGGAACTCTCTGCCACTTTTGTTAGTGATTGATTTATCCGATTCCTTTGCTGTTGATCCGGGCAATATACGTTTTCTTAGGCAGGATTTTCTTTTGCTTTTGTGTGCTGGTTTGTTCTCATTTTTGGTGACTGAAGTTAATAGAAATAAAATAAACTTTTCATCTTGCAATAAACACATTTCATCTATTAATGAGAAGAAAGCGTTGAGATTGGAAAATACGTCAAGAAAGCATGTTAGGAAAAATACGTCAACTCATTATTTACAATTTATTTCTATTAACTTCGGTCACCAAAAATGAAAGCACACACACAAAAAAGAAAATCCTGCCTATGCAATACATTTTAAAGAAAAAGTATCGCCCGAATCAACAGCAAAGGAATCCGTTAAATCCGTTGGTTGTTCGCAAGACAGTGAAGGGGGGGGGGTATAGGTGAACGATATTTAAGGGACTAGATGGTCAAGCTTATATGTAAGCCACTCTAAAATTAGCATATTTAGTAATTAAGTGAAAAATTTATTCGATCCTTTTCTCTTAATATTCCCCGCAAGAAAATGACCTTTTTTGTACGCTAAGACGTTCGTTTTCTTTTAAACTGCTATATACTACTGTATCTTGGAAATTATATACCGAATAGTTATTTGCTAAATTGCTATATATCATTGTAGCTGGGAAATTAACTACCGAACGGTCTGTTCTCCTAGATGGGTAGTGGTCGTATACTCCTCTGCCCTCTGCCCATCGCTGCCATGGTGTGTAGAGCACGTTACGTACGATCCTGGGAGTGCGTCAACTATGATATTGGGTGTCTCTGATGCAAAACCTTAGTGCTGAATAGCTGCAATGTTAGTGGCACCAACATTCGCATTTTTCTTAACTTCGTATTTCTGATTAACGTTACTGTTTTATGATCCGTGAGGATTTAAACTGGATGAAGAGAACTTGTTAAATAAATTCAAAACTTTTCAATAGCCAATACAATCCCTAAAATCTTTTCGATGATGGCGTAAGCTTCTGATAAGACTTGTATTTGCACGAAAATTTCCACACTTGTTGGAGCACCACACTTCCGTTCCTCAGCAAGACTACCGCGCCCACTAGCGTCCCCACGTAATACTGGTGTCAGGAGCTTGCATGGCGTGGGCGCGCAAGAGGTTCTTCAGATTTTCGAAGGCTTGTTAATAATCACCGGAACTCTTGAATGGTCGTTTGGTACTCAGCAAGTCAGTCAAATGTGCGCATTCCTGCAAAAAGTTTTTTAGAGAACCGTCTGCTGTTGCCGGCCATGAAGCGCATCAAGCATTTCCTGTCGACGGGCGCGGGAAATGGAAGAGCGGCTTCCACCTTTGCAGCCTCAGGTGCAACCCAGCCCTAACCGATCACGTGACCCAGAAGAGTGACACTTTTTTTAGGGTTTGCAATGAGATGTTCCTCCCAGGAAGTAATTCATATCACGAGGTCTTCAGGGTAACAACGAACACCTTCCAGGTTAGCCGTTAGGTAATTCACAAGCTGAAAAATTTATCGGGGCGGTCCTCGTGCCGAAAGGAAGAACTGTGAACTCGCAGAGGCCGACAGCAGTGTCAAATGCAGTAATCGGCCTCGCCCTCCAACTTCGAGATTGCGTGCCTACCAAAAGTCTAAAGACTGTACTTGATGTGATTTGCACACTGTGGCCACTGACTCCACACTGCGAAGGACGGAGGAGGACACGACCGCCACCCGCCGAGCCGAATGAGTTGTTTGGTAGTTAATTTCCCAGTTACAGTGGTGTATAGCAGTTAAGCTTTTTCTCATAGGAAAAATAAATACGGGGAGGAGAGTCAAAGTAACGTATCAAATTGGATTCACACTTAATGACTAAATTTACCAATTTTAGAGTGGATGTTTGCTACGCTTGACAATCTAGTCCTTGAAAACGCGTTCACCGAGTCCGACCCCTCCCCCCTCCACTCTTCACATTGTCTTGCGAACTACCGCGTTCTTAGTGATGGGCTACCTCGTTCACTCCTCACCAAGGCCCATACTTACATAGGCCTTGTCCTCCCCCGCCATAGGCCTGGCCAAGAACGCCGCCGATTGCCGCACCTTTGTTTGTGATTGATTTAACGGATTCCTTTGCTGTTGATTCGGGCGTGTCCTTTCTTGTTTTGTTTTCATTTTTAGTGACTGAAGTTAATAGAAATAAAATAAATTTTTAATCTTGCAATAAACACATTTCATCTATTAATTATTAAGAAAGCATTGAGATTGGAAAATACGTCAACTCATTATTTACAAACTATTTCTACTAACATCGATCATCCAGAAATGAAAGCACACAAAAAATGCAAGAAAATCCTGCCCATGTAATACATCTATAAGAAGAAGTGTATCGCCCGAATCAGCAGCAAAGGAATCCGTTAAATCCGTTGGTAGTTCACAAAACAGTGAGTGGAGGGGGGGGGGGGTTATAGGTGAACGTTATTTAAGGGACTATATCGTCAAGCGTAGTTGTTAACCAATCTAAAATTAGCAGATTTAGTAATTAAGTGTGAAATAAATTTATTCGATACTTTACTCTCAACATTCCGCGTAATTTTTTTTTTTTTTTTTTTTTTTTTTTACGTTAAGACGTTCGTTTTCTGTTACACAGCTATATATTATTGTATCTTGAAAATTACCTACCGAAAAGTTATTTGTTAAATTGCTATATATCATTGTAGCTGGGAAATTAACTACCGAACGGTCTGTTCTCCTAGATGGGTAGTGGTCGTATACTCCTCTGCCCTCTGCCCATCGCTGCCATGGTGTGTAGTGCACGTTACGTACGATCCTGGGAGTGCGTCAACTATGATATTGGGTATCTGTGATGCAAAACCTTAGTGCTGAATAGCTGCAATGTTAGTGGCACCAACATTCGCATTTTTCTAAACTTCGCATTTCTGATTAACGTTACTGTTTTATGATCCATGAGAATTTAAACTGGATGAAGAGAACATGTTAAATAAATTCAAAACTTTTCAATCGCCAATACTATTCATAAAACCTTTTCGATGCTTTAAGAATTCTGGTAAAACTTGTATTTGTACGAAAAATTATACACTGTTGGAGCACTTCACTTCCGTTCCTCCGCAAGAGTACAGCGCCCACTAGCGTCCCCACGTAATACTGGTGTCAGGAGCTTGCATGGCGTGGGCGGTACGCAAGAGGTTCATCGGGTTTTCGAAGGCTTGTCGACAATCATCGGAATTCTTGAATGGTCGTTTGGATTCGTGCTGATAGTTCTTACAGAACTGTCTGCTGTAGCCGGCCATGAAGCGCATCAAGCATTTCCTGTCGACGGGCGCGGGATATGGAAGAGCGACTTCCACCTTTGCAGCCTCAGGTGCAACCCAGCCTCAGGTGACCCAGGAGGGTGACACTTTTTTTAGGGTTTGCAATGAGATTTTCCTCCCAAGACGTAATTCAGATCACGAGGTCTTCAAGGTAACAACGAACACCTCCCAGGTTAGCCGTTCGGTAATTCATAAGCTGAAAAAATTATCGGGGCGGTCCTCGTGCCGAAAGGAAGAACTGTGAACTCGCAGAGGCCGATAGGAGTGTCAAATGCAGGTGTCGGGACTCCTTGAGGAGATTCAACTTTGAGAGAGTGCATGTCTCCCAAAGGTCTGAAGACTCTGCTTGATGTGATCTGCAAACAGTGGCCACTGACTCCACACTGCGAAGGACGGAAGAGGACACGACTGCCATCCGCCGAGCCGATGAGTTGTTTGGTAGTTAATTTCCCAGTTACAGTGGTGTATAGCAGTTTAGCAGTAGTTAAGCTTTTTCCCATATGAAAAATAAATGCGGGGACGAGAGTCAAAGTAACCTATCGAATTAGATTCACACTTAATTAACCAATTTTCAAGTAGTTATTAACTACGTTTGACAATCTAGTCCTTGAAAACGCGTTCACCGATACCGCCTCCTCCCCCCCACTCTTCACATTGTCTTACCGTGTTCTTAGTGATGGGCTGCCTCGGCCACTGCTCCACCAAGGCCCATACTTACATAGGCCTTATCCTCCCCCGCCATAGGCCTGGGGCCAAGAACTCCGCCGATTGCCGCTATTTTGTTAGTGATTGATTTATCTGATTCCTTTGCTGTTGATTCGGGCGATACCCGTTTTCTTAGGCAGGATTTTCCTTTGCTTTTGTGTGTTTTGTTTTCATTTTTGGTGGCCGAAGTTGATAGAAATACATTGTAAACAATGAGTTGACGTATTTTTACTATCTCATGCTTTCTTTCCGTATGTTCCAATCTCATGCATTCTTATCATGAATAATAACTGATGATGAAAACGTATTAACTGTTAACGAAAGACTTCTTTGATTGATATGTCTATTGCAAGATAAGATTACAATTAGGGAAAGTACGATTAGGGAGAGAGAGAGAGAGAGAGAGAGGAAGGGAGACAGAGAGAGAGAGAGAGAAAGATTTGTTACAATGGATATTCTTGGTTTGTCTGTTTAATTTTGCTTCTCCCCCCCCCCCCCCCTCCCCCCGCCCTGTGTGCAAGGAATGGCCAGGGTTACCATCCACTGGCGGCGAGGCAGCTGATCGCAGGCCAGCAAGACAGCACACAGAGATAGAAAGAGAGATTCTGTGTGAAAGATAAAGATAAAAGATAGGTAGACTCACAGATAAAAGATAGTTTGCTTAGATAGATGAAGGAATAAATAGGACAAATAAACAGATAAGTTATATCATTATCGCTAAAGGAGGAAAAGAAAGACATATTACAGTGGAAATTGATATACTGAACAGTATAAAAGGAAATGTATTTATTAAAAGACATATTGACAATCTGAACACATTTTAATATAAATATACCAGTTTCATATTTGAACTATTTATTTACTAAGTTGTACAATAATCATAATTTTAAAAATCTGGAATGGTCAGGAGTGCAAACTATCAAATATGAAAATACTGTATAGGATGTTTCCCAAAAACAAAACCTACACCACAAGAGTATGTTGTAATTTGTTATAAGATCAGATTTACGTAAAAAGATATCAAAGGTGCGACACAATGCAGACATGTGAAAATATAATATGGATACTTATTTAGGTACTTATGAAAAAAAACTGGATCATATGAAAAAGCATAGGAATGTAGTCATTAAAATAAATAAACGTAGAAAAAATGTGCGGTATTTGTATGCATATATGTATACACACACATATATATGGCGTAATCACTGAGAAATATTTGAAAATTATCATACATACATTCGATTTTTTTTGTTAGCAAGTGCGAATTAACGTGAAAAAAATGGCTTTTGCGAAAACCAGCAATCTCTATTCTAGTCTACAGACGAAAACCACTTAACTACCACTCCTTCAGTCACACACGCATATAAGAACACAAACTAGCACACTTAATGAAAGTAGAAGGCAGTCTACTTATAAATTCTGGACTGGATTGCTCTCCATTCATATACCATCCTAAAAAGATGACTGTACACTGAATCAGATACAAGTACATACATAGCAGATACATGGTTAAACAGACAGAATAAGCAGATCGAATGATAGACGAAACAGACAGATAAATAGACCGAATGCAGAAATATATAGATGAATAAACAGATAGATAGACAGATGGGTAGGTAAACAGATAGATAATAAGCAAAGGATAGATCGCCATATATAGATAATCAGGTAGGTAAATAGACAGATAGATAAGCAGATAGATAGATAAACATGTAGATAATCAGACTGATAGATAGATAAACTGATAGACACATAAACAGATAGCCACGTAAACGGATAGACAAATAAACAGAAAGATAAATATATAAACAGATAGACATATAGACAGACAAATAGCTAAACAGATAGAGAAATAAACAGATAAGTAGATAATCAGATAGATAGATAAATAAACAGTTAGACATATAAACGGGCAGATAAACGTACAGATAGGTAAATAGATAGACAGATAAACAGACAGATAGATAAAGTTATAGACATATAATCAAATAGACAGATAAACGGACAGATAGATAAATAGACAAACAGATAAACAGGCAGATAGATAAAGTTATGGACATATAAACAGACAGACAGATAAACAGACAGACAGATAGACAGACAAACACACCCGACCGCCACTCATTCCTTCCCAAACAAAAGCCTATCGATGTAAATGACTTTGCCGTCGCCATCCTTCCTAAGTCCTCCTCGCCTCTCCAGAAACTCCACCGCGTAGTACCCGAGGACCCCCAGCAGGAGGAACACCAGCAGGATGATGACTTTGGGCTCGATGCAGATGAGGCTGCTGCAGGCGTACGAGATGATGAAGCCCGTCGACTCCCACAGGCGGTAGTTGCTGAAGGCGGCCTCGGACTCGCCGGGGAAGATCACGCCGTAGAGAGCTGGGGGGAAGCGGTGCCTTTTCGTGAGGGATTTACTTGTGTTATTGTTGTTATTGTTATTGTTATTATTGTTATTGTTATTGTTATTATTGTTATTGTTATTGTTATTATTATTATTTTTTATTATTATGATGATTATTATCCCTAGTTGTAGTATCATTACTATCATCATTATATAAAGGGCTGGGGGAAAAAGATGTTTCTTTTGTGATTGATTTATGGTATTTTATTAATATTATTATTCATTCACTCATTATTGGGAAATAGATGACTTTTTATGATTTATTACTTAATTTGTTTATATATTTCACTTTTATTTGTAAATAACATTAACAATACCAGCAACAAGAACAGCATCAACGACAGCAGCAACAATAGCGTCCGAACTCACCGTTGATCTGCGTCTGCCACACGGCGTCCGCCACGCCCCACAGCCCGGCCAGGACGAAGAACACGGGGAGGTCGTCGGGCGTCGGCGTCCAGTACCTCAGGGTGATGATGACCCCGAGGTTGACGAGGGCGCCCAGGGTGAACACAGGGACGCGCCCCACGATCTTGATCAAGGGCGAGAACGAGTAGGAGCACACGGCGTCGCACACCCCGTAGCAGATCATGACGTAGCCGACCATGTGGACACCCAGGCCGCAGGATACATAGGCCTAGGGTATTATGGGGGGAGGTGAGGAGAGGCATGCGCGTGGCTGTCTATCTGTCTGATTAAAAGGTGAGGAGAGGCATGCGCGTGGCTGTCTAGCTCTCTGTCTGATTATCTGTCTATCTGTTTATTTGTTTATCTGTCTATTTGCTTTACCTGACTTTCTATCTGTCTATTTGTTTATTTGCTTTACCTGACTATCTTTCTGTCTGATTATCTGTTTATCTGTTTATTTGTTTATCTGTCTATTTTTTACCTGGCTGTCTACCTGTCTGGTTATCTGTCTATCTGTTTATTTGTTTATCTGTCTATTTGCTTTACCTGACTATCTACCTGTCTGATTATCTGTTTATTTGTTTATCTGTCATTTTTTTTTTTTTTTACCTGACTATCTACCTGTCTGATTATCTGCCTATCTGTTTATTTGTTTCTCTCTCTATTTTCTTTACATGACTATCTATCTGTCTCATTATCTGTTTATTTGTTTATCTGTGTATTAGCTTTGCCTGGCTGTCTACCTGTCTGATTATCTGTCTATTTGTGTATTTGTTTATTTGTCTATTTGCTATACCTGTCTGAAAATTATGTGTAGTAGTGAAGTATTATAAGGAAATTCAGGTCATTTGCATGTAGGAAAAGAACAAAAAATTCCGGGATATGTAGATTCTTATATACAAATGAGGAGATGCAGTTATTATCAATCAATCAATTGCAGTCATTGATGACACTGCAGGCAGGTAACCTCCTAAACTCCTTCAGATAACACCACACTTTTCTTCAACCAAATCTCTCCATCTTTTCTCTGGTCTTCCCTTCCTTCTCGTTTCTCTCTGTGTACATTCTGTTATCTTCTTTATCTTTTTGGTATTGTGCATTCGGGTTATATGGCCTGCCCGCTGTCCTTTCCGAGTTCTTGTTTTCTCTACGATGTCTTAAGTCCTTGTCCTTTGTCTCGAGAGTTCATTTGTCACCTCATCTCTTCCAGTGATATTTAGGTTAGATCTTGTCATACTCCGTTGTGTAACAGCCAGCTTCTTCTTTCTTTCTCTCTCTCTCTGTCTCTTTCATTCTCTGTCTCTTTATCTCTCTTTCTCTCTCTCCCTCGCCCTCGCTCTCTCTCTCTCTCTCTCTCTCTCTCTCTCTCTCTCTCTCTCTCTCTCTTATTCTCTCTCTCTCTTACTCTCTCTCTCTCTTACTCTCTCTCTCTCTTACTCTCTCTCTCTCTTACTCTCTCTCTCTCTCTCTCTCTCTCTCTCGAGACGCGACCTGCTTGACAAACGTTGGACTTACTCGGAAGTAAAAACTCAGGATATAAAATGATGCATACGGAGTGAAACACTGTCAGAATACTAAATGAAACACTAAACCGCGACGGTTCCATTGTTACTAGACTCTTCTTCAGATCGTAAAGACCTTTGTTATTGTTTTAAGTTTCACTCTATCTTCTTACGTACGTGTCTGTGTTCGTTTACACGCTATCAGAAATACAAGTGCATCCATCTGCACATTGATACATAGAGATCAGTGATTCCTGGCTTTTCCTAATTTATATTATATTCATCTATTTATTCATTCATTCATTTGTATGTTCATTCATTCATTCATTCCCCGAATACTTTAAAAACATCTCCATGGCCGCGTTCAGTGTCTGTACTGGAATAGTGTAATGAAGGAACAGTGTAATGGTGTCAATAGACATATGGCAAGAAGGCTTTATGGGAAGATTCGAATTCAATGGCATGTGAGAGATAAGTATATGTAGGTACCGTAGGTGAGAGAAAATTCAGTTTAATTCGACGCCACAGTATTCATATTGCTCTAGGTTGGGAACCCCTGATATAGATCATACTGCAATTGCATCACTGCATCTGTATCACTGCATCGCAAATAATTAAATAACTTTTTTCCTGTATTAGTCTCCATACACGCTGAGAAATATACACGCATCCATTTCCACACTTGATAAACACATCTATCAAACTCCAGGAATAAAAAGCAGCTGTGCAACCACATCACAAACGAGGAACCACTGCAACGTTCGCAAAAGAGAGAGAGAGAGAGAGAGAGAGAGAGAGAGAGAGAGAGAGAGAGAGAGACAGAGAGAGAGACAGAGAGAGAGAGAGAGAGAGAGAGAGAGAGAGAGAGACATACAGAGAGAGAGAGAGAGACAGACAGACAGAGAGAGAGAGAGAAAAATAAATAAATCGCAGGCTTACCGCAGTGAAGTCGGCGCTGAGGAAAGCCTGCTCGAGTCCCGACCAAATGGTGATGGGGATGATGAGCACCTGGTATGGATGGCGAATGTGGACGAACGTCTTGGCCAGAAGCTTGAGTGTCGGTTCGTCGTCGTCGGGGGAGCTGGGGCCTTTCCTCTCGAAACTGCAGTTGATTTTTAATATATCTATTGTTACTTATCTTTATTTATAAGATATTTATTGATTTTTTTTTGTTTTGAATATTTTCATATTTCAGTCCAACATTGTATTCGCCGCTAATGACCTTAGCTGTTGATGCGACAGATAATTTTAGATAACCAATCAATTACTCTCAAACCTGCATTTAAAAGAGGATTTATTTTGTGTAATTTCATTTAAATCTGCATTTAAAATAGGAAAAGTTTGTTTAGCATTCCTTTTAAACCTACATTTGAAATCGGAAAAGTTTTTTTTTATGTAGTACCTCTTTTAATTTAATTTAATTCAGATGTGTATTTGAAATAGGATTTAAAAAAAAATAATTTAAACATACATTTGAACTAGGAATGTTTTTTTTTTTTTTTTAATTCACTATGAATTATGAACTATGAATTCACTCCCAATCATAAATGTCAACAACTTTTCCTATTCTTTCATTTCAATCCCTAATTCATTCATATATTCACCCATTCATCTATTCATTAATTCATTCATTAATATTTTTCTTTAAAAGGAGACTTACGTGCTCAGCTGATCGACGAAGAGAATCACAATAACCGAGGAGAGGAGAGCGAAGACGAGGTAAATGGAGGACATTGTGTACCTCTGCCACAGGGGGATTTCAGTGCTGTTGCTGGCGCCGTCGTTCTCGTAGGCGTCCAGGGGGCAGAAACGGTACCCACAGCGTTGCAGGTCCTCCTCGGTTTTGTTCTCGCCTGCCACGCCCATGGACAGGACTGGAGGGGTGGGGGTGTGGGCAGGGGGAGATGAGAGAGAGGTGTGTGTGTGAGTCTTTTGCGAGAGGGATAGAGGTAGGTAGGTAGAGAGAGATGGAGGGAGGGAGAGGGAGAGGGAGGAAGGGAGGGAGGAGAGAGAGAGAGAGAGAGAGAGGGAGAGAGGGAGAGAGAGAAGAGGCACATAGAACGGGAAAAACGAAAAATAACGACGAGGAGCCAACACACAGACAAGTCCATTTTCTCATCTTCCTCAAAGAAAGACAGAAAACTAAATGAAAATAAAAAGTACACAAAATGTCTTTCTCTCTCTCTCCCTCTCTTTCTCTCTCTTTGAACCTCTCCCTACCTCTCTCTATCTATTCCCCCCGTTACCCCCCCTCTCTCTCCTTCCCTCTTTCCCCTCCCTCCCTCCAATACTCCTTCCCCCTCTCTCTCTCTCTCTCTCCACTTCCATCTTCCTCCCTTTTTCTCTCTCCCTTCCCCCTTTCCCCTCCCTCCCTCCTTCCAATACTCTCTCTCTCTCTCTCTCTCTCTCTCTCTCTCTCTCTCTCTCTCTCTCTCTCTCTCTCTCTCTCTCTCTCTCTCCTTCCTCCCACCCTCCTTCCCTCCCTTCTCTCAGTCCCCCCAGAGACACACCTGTGGAGGAGATGACGTTGCCCCACACCTGCGTCGACTGGAAGAACAGAAAGAAGATGCCGAAGAATCTCGTGATGATGACGTCACTGTTGACACCCACCAGATCTGCGTAAATGGTACCGACCTGTGAGATTCGAATAAATAAGGGAATGGATTAATAAGCGGATGATTAAATGAGTAAATAGAATGATGAAATGAACTGTGGTAGAAAATTAATATGATAATGATCTGAACTGTTGACTTGCAACTGAACTGAATGAATGGATGCATGAATACGACTTGTGACGTTTAAGGGCATCTGT